TCCACTCGATATTTTATCAAAATTCGGTACAGTTTGCAGAACACGGCAATTTCAGAGATTTAGGGATGTAAACCCGTTTCTTTATTCATGCTTACCCAGACGATCTAGCAGTTGAGAACAGGGTGCAAGATCATTTGTTACATTTCTAACAATTACTCCAACATCTGTATCATTACGATATCTGTATCGACGCTAACATGTTAGGTGTCACATCTTTAGGGTTATAGCACTGGTCAAACCAGAATAATTCGCCTGCTGTCAAAAACTGAATCAATTATTAACTTATTTTAGGCAATTAAAGTGATACATCGGTTTCATAAATTATTAGTGTTTATTTTCAAAATGTTCTGCTTTGATTTACATGATATGCTGATAAATCTGCTCAGCATTTTCAACAAAATACTTTATCAATGGATGCTGTAAGACATTTACTGCACGCGTAGATTTTAACAAGCTGAGTTACTGTTGTGATTTGACTGGTTGTCACATTTAAACAAGAGAAGTTGAAGTACGCGAGTGGCGATATTTGTATTTAACTGGATAGTGACGAGGGTAGAATGCGATATATTAGTGGCAAACATCCAACATTATGTAGAAAGCTGAAAAATTGTTTGTTTGACTGAAGTTGTAAATAGAATAAAACGTTCGTAATGTTCAACATGGGGAAAATTCTCTTTTAACTGTCAAAATAGGGATAAGTTTCCAAAAGTGTCAGCAAGGCCAGCGGAAAAGCCAGTCACATTATATACAGGGAAAAGACGAAGCGTTATACATGCAAACTGGAAATAAACAAGATTTGTTTCAACATTAAAACACAAACGAAATTATTAATCCCATCCCCTCCAAGTTTATTCTTGCGAAGCAACTTGATCACACTTAGCGTTAAGAAATACTCCCATTCTTCATCCACTGGTTAAAGACCAGTGGCAACAGGGGAACAAACATGTGCGACTGCATCAAGTGCATCTCATAGAGGAGTCCATCGATACCCGGAGTCTTGTCTTGGCCAAGATGCTTCAACGCATCCCAGATTTGCTCCTCTGTTATCGGACCCGCGCACATTGACCTTTGGCCCATTTCAGTTTTTATTTGACGTCAATCGCGATATCTCACAGAAATGTTAGCTTAAGAGTTCTATATAGGAAGTGGTAAACAAAAACTGGGACCCTCCCTGAGCAGAAATGCCTTAAATTTTTGTAGTCCTCATTTTCCAAAATTGTCAAAGGGTGGGAGTAATATCAAGGCCTTTAACACTCTTTTCGACCACCCCCATGTCTGTTAGGACCCCGAGTCAGTGTTGAAAATGGTAATGTCCAGCTTAGCTCCCGGAAAATTCCGTGGATCCTCTATGTCTCTTTTTCCCCACCTATCTCCAAGCTGTTGGGAATAAACATAAAGGCTTCAAACCCCCACTCGCCCGTCTCATATTCTGGAGTAACATTCATTAACTGGCCATAATGCATTAAATATATCCCTAGGTGCCCTCCGAGAATATGGTCAGGGATCTCATATACGGGCACCTTGGTCCTACGCCGTCTTCGGTATTCTGTGCGGATGATATAATCTTTTGTGATCAAATCACGAGACGTTACATCCGCACAGTCTTTTGGCGTAGGCAGCAGTATATCCCACGTTAAATAACCTAGCCCTTTAATTATTTGTTGAGGTTTAACCCCCATGGAATTCATTGCTTTCAACACTGCCTTTTGTGCATCGACAAATTTTGCGCGTGAGCTTGTCGAGCACAAAGACTGACACTGTTCGTTTTGTAATGCGCTCTTGTGCATCGAGGTCTACCAGAAGTCCGCCCTCGGTAACCAAATGAGCGTACTGTTTGGCTCTCTCGATAAAGTCCTCCACATTGACTATGCATTTCGGGGGAACTCCATACAGAGGGTGATTCTCCCTCCACTACACCGCTGACTTCATCCGCCGCCATGTTAGCGCTCTTTTCTTTTTCAAGTTCTTTTCCTTTCTATAATGGGTGTGGATAACTTATCTTTTCCCTTATAAAGCCTAACTTTACAGGATTTTTTTCCTTTTGCTTTGTCAGTTGGGTGTGGGGAACAGCCTCCTTTTCTTTATCTGGTGGATCTGATTAGTGGTAGATCCAAATAAATTTTTGAATGTCCAACTATGGTCGTCCATTGTGTGATCATTTTTTCTCAGGCCACAAAGTTTAAACACAAGAAAAAACACAAACGAAAATAAAATGCAGAACAAAATTTAAAAAAATAAAAAAAGTAAAACAAGCAGTTCTGACGAAAAAGCAAGTCCGACGCAAAAAAGAATACGAAAATAAAAACAGAATATAATACAAAAACAAAAATTAAAACAAATTCGGCCGCAGCTGAAAGAAAGTAACAAGTCTGAAAACGAAAAATATAATCAACAAAATGGAAACAAACTTTGACACAAGCAGAAATAAAAAGCTTAACAGTTTGCTGTTAAGCTTTTTATTTCTGTTTGTGTCAAAGTTTGTTTCCAAATAAGGTCATCGTAAGGTCAAACGCTTGTCTGGCAAGAGAAAAACTACAGAAACCTGCGTTAACAGTGTTCCGTAATGGGTAACTCCATCATTTATTACTGTATAAGCACAGCAATTGTGGCGTAACGCCGAAAAGGGAGAAATGGTTTGCGGCTGATCTACTCTAACTATCGTATACCCAGTTTCATGACCCATTCATTCAATACAATTTTCTCATTCACCACAAAAACTCACCCCTCATCATTCAATTCTTCATATACCACAATACCACAAATTTACAAGGCAAATACAATAAACCACATGACATAAACATTTGTTTGTGTATAAAATTATATATAAAAATTTATTGATGGTATGAAATGAGGAGGATGGGCTGAACCCAAAAACAAACAAAAATATAACTAAACACAAACTAAAAGTAAATGATGTTAGTAGTTAGTCCACCCCTAAAAAATAAGAATGGCCGTTATATTCTATTTTCAAAAAAAAAGAGGTTCTCTCGCTTAGCGAGAGGGAAGGATAAAATAAATACTGGCATGGGAGAATCATAAAGTCGAGATGAAAAAGAGAGACCAAAAATAAACTGGGAAGGTTGGAAATCTCAACTTGGATCATAACAAAAGAGGAAGGCGGGAACAGGCCGGAAAAGACACCTAGTCACATTAACGAGGTACACAAAAGAGTCTTAATGAGGGGAGGGCTCCACTGGAAACCACCCCGTTGTGACTCGGGAGAAAATCAAGGCTAGGAACGTTCACGCGAACCAGGCTCGCCGCACTTACCCAGCTTTCGTTGAAATCTGTTGATAACAAACGATTTCTATCAGTTCTGATCTCCATCCTGTTCTGATGCTCAAAAAATCTGGGCAGATCCTCCTTCCACGTTGTCCAAATCACCATTCTATCCACGGTTAGCAGTGCTAGAAACACCACCCGTTACCCCTCAGAATACGGAGGTGACACATTGTTACACACATATGCGGGATCAATGAGCACGAGCTTTTCGGAAGTTATACGAGCCGTCATTTCGCTGACATAGTCCAGAGGGACGCACTCGAGGACAATGGTAGAAGGCGTGCGAAGCCGTTTCTTCTTAGCCAAGGTCACATTGATGACAGTCAGGCAAATCCACCAAGCCCCCATATGAAGTCTTATATCATTGAGAGATAATCTATTCCGAACCAATCGCCCGGTAAGCGAAAACTCAGGATCTCCCCCCCCACACTAGCTCCTCGTCTCCTATCTTGGAGTCCAGGTCGTCATTCCAGTCCCCCATCAAGACTAAGTGGGACGAATCCACCGGAACGGCCCTAACTGATGGAAACTGGTCGCATAAACCGCAACGATCCGAAACGAACTACTTTGCACAGCAATATCGACCACGATTAACCGCCTACCTCCTTGTATTGACATGAATAAGGTCCAGGTCGCATCCAGAGTACGCTTAACCAGCAAGGAAAGACCTCTGGCCAGTCGGTCACCTTATGTTGAATAGACAACAAAGTCACGGCATCAATCTCGCAAAGTGAGGTTCCTCGGTCGCAGCGACATCTACACCAAACAAGAGGTCACGAAGCAGGCGGGCAACCTTACTCCGATCCCTCAAGCCATTCGGATTCAGGCGGGCTATCTTGATAGACATTTTTTAAAGCTGGAAAATAAAACAAAGACCCTATTCACAGATTGGGCGGTGTAATATCCCAGCAACAAAAGGGAGATAACCCCTAGAGACACAAGAGTTAGGTCCCCTCCTGACATCCGGTTAATCTTAATCAGCAGTTTCGCAGCAAAACGGGAATAGGAGGCTACCATCACCCGAGGGACAATCAACAACCATCCTAACATCCTATCAACGCATTAATCGATGCCTAGCAAGTATCGATAGCCTCTTACGCAGAATATTACATTGGCGACGAGGACTGAGTCGTTACACTCACAAACAGAACATCAACACACTTAAAAAAAAAAAGAAAAAAAAATTCAACACGTGTTCGATATATAACCAATATGGCCGCCGTACCACACTACCCCGAATTTGATTGTGAGCCAAAGCAGCAAGATGGACAAAATACGTAAAAAGACTGAAAAACTATTTTGTCGCACATAACATTGAGGATGACAAACGGCAAAAAGCAATCCTACTAACGTTTGTCGGCGAGGCTACGAATGAAATCATCGACGAAATACCACAGGAGCGAGTCACACCGGAAAAAAATGAAACTCATTTCGACAAGCTTGTCTCAGCAGTGCACAACCACTTCAGCCCTGAAAACGACACGGAATACAACCGATTCGTGTTCCGAAAAATAGCCCAGGCATCGAAGACTTCTACCGCAAACTAAAGGAAGCTGCGGCTATGTGCCGTTTTTCCGACACGGATTCCGAGGTGAAGTCCCAATTAATTACAGGCTGCCTGTCGGAAAAAGTCCGCCAGAAGGGACTCATGAACTCAGCTACATGACTTAATAAACTACGTAAGGACAACAGAGACGATAGCGTCGCACCTGCAAACAATGCGACTGAAAGACAACAACACCGCTACTGCTACAACCGCCCCAATAAACAAAGTCGCGGGCGAACAGCGCCAACCAAGCAACTATCCCCGGCAATACCAGTGCAGGAATTGCAACGGAAAATACCCTCATGAGCGGGGACCGACGTTTTGCCCTGCATTTCATACCCAGTGCACATACTGCGGAAAGTGGGGACACTTCACCTCTGTCTGTTTCAGAAGATTAAACGACGGAAACAGACAACGGGAAACAAATCGTCCCCCACGAACACAGACCAATCGACGCTCAGTGAACCGCATTGAAAACAACCAACGGAACCCATGTAGCAGCGGTAGTGATACAGAATACGTGTTCCACACAGGTAAGACGAAAAACCTTCCTTGCGTGTCTTTTGGCTATAGCCGCCAGACGTTCAACGCACTAGCCGACTCAGGCGCCACCATTAACGTCCTGTCTGAGGCAGACTCCAAACGTTTGAGACCAGCACCCCACCTCCGACCCACAAAAACGGTAATATCTGGGTTTGGTGTAAAGGAAACCACCCCAGCCGTAGGCCGATTCAACATACGTCTAGAATTCATGGGCACCGCTTGCCAGGCCGACATATATGATAAAGAGCTCAGAAAAGCCCATCATCGGCTGGGATACATGAAAAAGGCTAGGACTGCTATCTGCACACAAACTCTCCATCAACCATATCAGTGACTCTGACACACAAATCCCTCCCTCCACCCTTAAACTTCTGGACGACCATGCAGACCTCTTAAATGGCCTAGGTAAACTCAAAGGGAAAAAGGTTCACCTACACATAGATGAAACCATACCATCTGTTGCCCAGAGATAGACGTGGGGGAACAAATATACAAAGATGAGAAACTAGGGGTTATTGAAAAAGCAGAAGAACCAACCCCATGGGTATCTCCCATCGTGGTCAGAGTGTGCATTGATATGAGAGCAGCGAACAAGGCCATTAAAAGGAAACGGCACCCAACCCCCACACTAGATGAACTGAAAACCATTCTATCAGGAGCTAATATCTTCAGCAAATTAGACCTCAATCAAGGTTACAACCAATTGGAACTAGCTGAAGAGTCCCGTTACATAACAACCTTTGCGACACACCTCGGCCTATACAGATACAAAAGGCTATTCTTTGGTGTCAACTCCGCCAGTGAGATATTCCAGGAAGAAATCAGTCAAGCACTTGCAGGGATCAATGGAGCCATCAACATCAGTGATGACATCCTTTGTTTTGGATCAGACCAGTAGGACCACGACCAAAACCTTCGCACAATATTCCAGCGAATTCGCGAAAAAGGTCTCACTCTCAATGGCAGCAAATGTGAGTACAACAAAAGGTCACTGGAATTCCTCGGACACACTTTTGGCAACAAAGGCATTAGCCCAAGCAGCCTCAAAATAAAAACTATCCTTGGGCTACCCAACCCTAAAAATGCATCAGAAGTCAGAAGCTTGTTGGGGATGACTAACTTCTGTGGTGCACAATTCATTCCAAACTACGCGACCCTGACTCACGACCTACGTCAACTAACGAAAAAAAACACTCAGTGATCCTGGACTGAATGCTTAAAAAAAATCAAGGATGCCCTGAGCAAAGCATGACCCGAACAAACACACTGAGATATATATCGATGCTAGCCCCGTAGGCATCTCTGCCGTGCTGTCACAAAGTGGACAGGTAGTACAATTTGCAAGCCGACCATTATCCGCAGTTGAACAAAGATACTCCCAAACAAAACGCGAAGCCCTCGCTATCACATGGGCATGTGCACATTTTCATATATACATTTTCGGAGCACCATTTACTGTGCATATAGATCATAAACCCTTGACATCAATTTTTAACAACACCCGCTCTCAACTATCGGCACGTATTGAACGCTGGGTCTTGAGAACACAACCGTACAACATGACCGTCATATACCGACAAGGTCATGACAACCCAGCTGACTACCTCAGCCGTCACCCTATACACCTGCCACCGAGCGACAGAGAACAAAAAGTAGTAGAAGAATATATAAACTACATCCTCTCAACATCAACCCCCAAAGCAATGACGATTGAAGAAGTCGCAACGGAAACCGCAAAGGACAAGACACTCACAGCCGTCATACAAGCCCTCCTCACCAACAATTGGTACGGTATTGACGATGATGTAGATAAAGCAACATTCCAAACTCTGCATGCCAACCGTGCCGAACTCTCACTAGCACACAACGACAGCATCGTTCTCAAAGGACGCCGGATAGTACTGCCCAAGACACTACAAAGCAGAGCCGCCCAAATCGCACATACCGGACATCAAGGCATCGTGAAATCCACGAAAACATCAGGAACTGTCACACCTGCCAGATCAGCACCCACAAACCTGCAAGAGAACCACTGCAAATGTCCCCACTACCAGCGGCTCCATGGACAGAAGTCAGCGCTGACTTTGGACACCTGCAAAATGGGAAATACCTACTTGTCGTCACAGACGAGTACTCACGCTACGTTGTTGTTGACATCCTAGACTCCATCTCAACGACATCAGTGATACCCCGCCTGGACAAAATATTTGCGGAGTTTGGGGTACCAGTATCCCTCAAAACGGACAATGGCCCACCATTCAACAGCAGCGATTTCAAAGACTACGCCTCCCTCGCCGGATTCAAACACAGGAAAATAACACCCCTGTGGCCCCAGGCCAATGCTGAAACGGAACGCTTTATGCAGACTGTAAAAAAGTCCATCAAGGCTGCCCTAATTAAAGGCCGAAGCTGGAAGCAGGAATTATTCAAATTCCTACTGAACTACCGAACAACGCCACACTGCACCACAGGTGTACCCCCGGCCTCAGTCCTATTTGGCCGGACCATAAAAAACCGCCTGCCACACTTGATCACATCCATAGCTGGAGACTCCAGCATCAGGGAGCGTGACACACAAGCCAAGACAACTATGAAACGATACGCTGACAGGAAAACATACGTGAAACCCAATGATCTCAGAGTGGGTGACACAGTCATTATAAAAAACGACCACACCTCAAAGGCTCTCACACCCTACCAACCTAATGACTGTGACAAAGAAAAAGGGATCCATAACTGCCACACACGAGGGCAACCAAACTACAAGAAATGCCAACTTTTTCAAGAAAATCCCAAAACCACCAACAAGCCCCACACACAACCCACTCCATTACTCTTCATCTGAAGATGAAAACTACACACACACTACAACACCACCAAAATCTAGAGACACCCAGGCACAACATACTCCCAACCTCAGGCGCACAGGTCGAGCAAGACGGCCAGCCAAAAGGTTCGATTGCTAAACCCCTCTCAAAAAAAAAAAAAAAAAAAAGAGAAAGCATTGTAATATCCCAGCAACAAAAGGGAGATAAATCCTAGAGACACAAGAGTTAGGTCTTCTCCGGACAACCGGTTAATCTTAATCAGCAGTTTCGCAGTAAAAAGGGAATAGGAGGCTACCATCACCCGAGGGACAATCAACAACCATCCTAACATCCTATCAACTCATTAATCGATGCCTAGCAAGTATTGATAGCCTCTTGCGCAGAATATTACAGGCGGTAATCTGCGGGAATAAGGACTCCGACGGATTGTCCTAGGCTCCCCATGCTCATCTCCGACGTCATCCGTCCATCTAGGACAATGCCGCCAATGTCCATGGGATACATTAATTTTAATGCCCTATATAGCGGGGGTGGAGAAGCACCAGGACCCTCCCCGAGCAAAATCAAAATAGCTTTTACAAATCCGAGATTCCCATTTGTGCCATCTGTACTTCCGGGAAGGCGTCCTTCGCCTCAAACAGGGAATTGCCTGCATCCGTTATACAGGATATCACTCCCGGAGCTTTGAGGAAATTACGGGGATCCTCCACCGACTTACCGTCGACGGAGGTGATCTTGGAAAGGGAATCCAAGGGGGCCTTTTTTGAGTGGAAAAGTCCTTTTCTATCTTCCGTCTGTATTTTGGGGGGCTGAGTTAGCTTTTCCGGATCCGGCCGATCCTTGGGTTGATGTTGCTGTGAGTCTGCCTGCTGTGGGAGAGAGGGCTTGGTGTCTTCCGTCTCTTCTTCTCCACCTCTTTCATTCTCCTTCAGAGACCTTGCCGGCCACTTCTGCTACTTCCACTGCTTCAGATGCTGCTGCTTGACTAAGCTGTGACGCCGCGTTCTTGCCGGGACACGCCTTCGACATGTGCCCCAAGGCACCACACGACCAACAGTAGGGACGACGGCCTTCAACAACCACGGGCATCATTTTCTCCCAGCAGATCAACACGTTGGGGATCTCCCTGAAACTTTTCTGTATTAAAGTTACCTGAACTACAAAGTCCCCAGTGGCAATCCCAGCTTTGCTAATTATTGCCGAGACATCTTCCACCTCGCCGTATCGGGCAAAAAAAGGTTATTTTCGTTCTTCTTGCCCCCATGTACCCCGTTTGTAGGCGGACAGATTTTGTTGGCAGGATGCTTCCCGCCAACTTCTTTACCTCTTTCTCCGTCGCCAATAAGATATCCCTTAACGCATTTTTAACCTATCTTGAGGCTCTTCAAGGCTTCCTCCATCGTTTCCTTGTTGACGCCAATTAATCTTCGAGTTCCTACGTCTGTGGTCAGCAGGGAGATCGTTCTTGTCTTCACGGCATCAATTGCCTCGGGGATTATAAAAACTCATTGCCCTGTATGTACGACTCGCACTTTTCTTTTAGGGCTTCATAATATTTGTCATCCTTTTGCGGCCTGACATCACCCCAGGCCAATTTTTTTGGCGGTGACGTATCTTCCATTTGCAGCGTTTCCAAATTTACCGCCATGATATAACCAGCTTGATCCTACTACAGCCAAATAATTTTAAAAAAGTTTGCCATATTTTTTTAAGCGTTTTGTCAACAAACAAATGGAAAGATAAATATTAAACGAAAAAAATAAAGTCTCGCGATGAGGAAAGACGACCCAGTAGTCACGGGCGGATGAAAAAACAAATAAAAAGGAAAACTCAAACTTGGCGTGGAAAAATTAAAACAAAACGAGTCAGCAATTAAACACGTGAAACAGATTAAGGTAAACACGAAATAAAAACGAATTAAATTCGTGGAAAGTTAACACACAAAAAGAAAAAATACACTACAGAAAAATAAAAGTTTGGCTTACAAAAAAGGGGACCACAAAAAACAAGTAACACGAAGAAAATTAAAAAACGATATTAAACAAAAAAGAAAACTGAAAATAAAATGTAAAAGTTCAAAAAGCTTCGCGGATAACAGAAAGAAAACGAAAAATAAAACGATTAACTCAGTTCACAGTTCGTAAAAAAAAAACTCTTGTCAGGCAAAAATTAGCTGGACTAGAAAAAGACACGTAATTCACGTAATAGGTAACCCCTCCCCCATCAGTAAAAAAGAGTGCTGTTTAAATAGTCCAAGACCAGTCCATCTTGTGGGCGTGTTCAGCTACTCTACAACAGTTATGATCGATTTAAAGAAGCGATAATATCAACATAGGAAAAGAAAAACAGCGATGTTTGATAAATTGATGACATCGACTAAATGGATGCCCATATTTCAATTAGATGATATCATTAGCTGACCATATTGGTGTTGGTGGTGACATTGTTTTACCAAAAGTTCATTCAACAAGCCTTGTCTTCTTTCAATCGCAATAGCTTCGAAGACAGAAAACATTCCTTTGGCTATTCGACATTTTAATAAAAATTAGATTTTTCGAGCACACATTAAGTTTGCACATTGTACTCGGACCATGGGTGAACAGATAATGAATGATTATAAAACCTAATTCATATTTTTCGTTGCCTATAAAGAGCGAAACTTCATAAAATTATTTAGGTGGGATTTAAAAACCTCTGGTGATCTCTCTGCTTTGGGTAGGGGCTCAACAAACTTAATGTTTTGTGGATACAAGAGCCACTATATCCAACATTCCCAAATTTTACCTAACAGGGAGAGTCATATATCCAACAAATACCTCCATTGTTTCTGTCAATGGAAAACAAACTAAATGTTACTGCCAATTAATGCTGAACATGTCCTTACACAGCTTAACGAGTAAATTTATATGGAGTTTTGCGGAAACAACGAAAGTGTTATTAGGTTCCGACTTTAACTATTTTTATCTGTCTCTTGGCAGCACCAATTATCATTGATAGTATAGCTAAAAGACTAGTTAGTGAACAACATTGATCACTGAACATAATACTGAATTAAAATTCTGCCGCTCTGACAGCACAGCAACCAATTATCAATAAATCCCCTAAGTTGGTATCTCCGAATCTTAATTCCAATGCAACAAAAGTATTTCATAGAATTGAATTCGGTGGCAATTCATCAACAAAATGTAGACAACTGTTAACTTCAAATTTGAGCATAGCAAAAAGATTTAAACAAATTTCAAAAGGCTTCCCGTCTCCTGCATTATTTTCTTTTTAATTTTTTATTTAAAGTTTCCAAATTGTTTCTGAATATAGTGTTTCCAGTCATAGCCTCAAACGCACTCCCAAGAAAATTAATGTACTCACTTGCCGAAATGATTCAAGGTCGTTGCGCCAATTTCTTAGGATGTCAGCTTTTCTTCATTTTCTTATAGAAAACTAGTTCCTAACCATAGTAATTTAATCGTTTCCCCTTTTTTAATGCTATATCTTCCCAGGACGTTAGTGGCCATGACTATAGATTTGTCTTTACTATCTATAAACTGTCATGTATTATTGGGAAATATAGTGGAGCGGTTTCCCATTACCTCATCTACAGTTTTGAATCTATAGTTTTCTTTCTCTTAGACTGGTTGCCACCTGCTGCCGATATCCGTTACACTACCTGCACTGCACAGCCTAACCCATCTACATCCAAGTGTGTATGTTTAAATCTCAATAAAAAGAGGTTATAATGTCAAAATAAGTGATATGCTTCGAGAATTTTAAAATAATATTGTCCTGCTCTACTTTGGAAGTTAAATATTATCAACTTGGCGCTGCATTACATCAACTGATAAAGGGTTAATTTGTCCCTATCAGTTTCTTTTCCAAGAAATTATTACAGATTCAACAAAAGTATTCAACAAACGGCATTATATTTCAAACACCAAACAGAATGTAATGTCGACCGTAAACCACTAAACAATCTCCATTGAAATCTAACAAACATCATCTCTCCATTATAAGAAACCCCTTCATAAATTAATAAAGATTCAATATAATTGCCGAGTGTTTATATGCAATAACAGTTAATATATGTGAATTACAGGAGTTAGTAAATATCAAGTTAGTGACATCTAAATAAAAAAAATTATTAAAATAAATACCATTCAACAATTCAGTTAGGGAACATTTTCTCGACCTGTCTCCAAAAACTGATTTCCAACTCTTTCACACAATCATCAGTCTGTAAGCAAAAAAATCTTTTTAAGATGGCGAAAAATTCTTCAGTTGATTGATATTCTTGAACAGCAAGTGATGATGGAATATGTGGCTGATGATGTCAGCTTTACAGTGTTTTCCCTGTCAACCGAACCACAACTGCTGCACCCAGTTTTCCACCCGTCCGTCTATTTTCAAGAGTTGGCCTATTTCCCTATTTTATCTTTCCCCTGGACAAATTTACTGAATAACAGCGATCCATAATTTTCTCCACAAAGAAACCTTTGTTTAGCTTTTATCTATTTAGTCCCACCTGGATTTTGTCTCGTTAACATTTCGCATCACTAAGAAGTCATTGAAATAATCCTGTTTTCTTTGGGTTGACATTTTTCTAAGTTTCCCTAGTCTGGGATGACAACCAGACGTTGGCTTCTTATCAACATCTTGCGAAATATCGACTTATTTTGAAATTTCATTTTCCTCAAACCTTTTAATTCAAAAAATCAAATCCCACTTTACGAAAACGAGCCACAATGTAATTCTGGTGTGCTTGTAAAATATAAGATATCTAGCTTGAATATCTAGTCTTTTCACATGAACATACCAAGTTAATTCCAATCCCAACTGGCCACCATGTACAGATTCACTTATTTGGAAAAGCCACACCAATAACTATTATAAGTGCCGTTCTAAATCAAAGAAAGTGCTATTATCTTTTCAATCTAACTGAACAAGATACGAAACAAATAATGTAGGTTCTCACATAAATTGCTCTCCATCTGTCAGTTAGACACGTTAAACATGTAGTGGAAGG